ACACTTTAGAAAGGTGAATTATACTTCAGTTAAACTTGAAAAAACAATGCAATGAATGTCTTCTGTGTAGTTTTTCCTTCTTGGATTATTTCTTCAGGATGATTTTACAATGTGATATCATTGAAATAGGAGAATATGAGTCTTTATTGTCCTGCAAAAAAAAAAAAAAAGTGGCCAAACTGTCTCCCCAAGGTTGTGCTTTATCTTCATCAATTTATATCCTTAGCAAAATGTGAAGGCACCACTTTATTCCGTTGGTTACTCCACCTTCTTCGTGCCTGCCTTTGACAAACCCCTTGAGAGGTTGACTCACTCCACTCCACCCACTACTCCCACAAATGTCATTTTGCAGGGTGGTGGTGAAGGGAGGTGGTAGGGTAAGGAGAACAAGAGGGAAGCCAAGATGGTTGACAGACATCTTGTGAGATTTGGATTCCTCCCACTGTGTGCTTGTCCCTATGGCTTTGTCTTGCTAATTTTGCTTCTGAATCTGGATCAGCTTTATAGCTGTGGCCAATACATGTGGAATGTCTAGTGTGTGCTGCTCATTGTGCTGGTATACAACTTAAGTCACTGTGGTGTGTATAATAGGTGGTAGTTACCATAATTATATCTGTTTTATGAATGAGGTGAGAAACTTGAGCAAAGTGGGTAGCTATATAGGGGCAAGGTCAAGATTGGAACTCACAATCTGAGCCCAGAACCCTGGTTCATAACCATAGCATCATCCCGCTTCAAACATAGTTTCTGGCTGCTTTCAAAATGGCAGTTTAACAAAGCACATGTGGTATTCTAAGATCATTACAGTGATCTTCCCTGGAGGAGCCATTCAATGCTATTTTCCCTCACTCTTTGGCATCTTGAGCAAAGACTAAGCTTTCAGACAGCAAGAGGAGTAAAGGAGACTGTCAGAAGACAAAGGAAGGTTATCCATGTAGAAGGAAACATGGGGAAATGAGACTCTAGGCTCTCCATCAGGATGCTTACTTGTTACCAGTTAATTAGGAACGATAACAAAAGATCGCAATTTTAACTGAACAATCATAGAACCCAGTGCAGGTGACTTTTAAGTGGACACTGGTGGTCACAGATACACATCTTTGGGTAGAAATAATTGATTGGGCCACATACCTTATCTCATTTGGTTCTTAATGGCAATCACATGGGATAAGTCTGACTCCCACTTTTCATCTACAGAGAAAGAAATCAACCCAGAGAAAGTACATAGATGAATTGTTTTGCTAAGACAAACTCAGTACTTTTTTTTTTTTTTTTTGAAAATCAAAGAGACAGAAGGAGAGACCAACCAGTGCCCATCATCACCAGTGGTGACTTTACCTACTATACCACAATGCCAGCCCCCTTGAACTTTTAATTCAGCAGAATGTGTTTTTCCGTTTATTGCCTCATTGCTTCCAACCAACCATAACGCCTCTGGGATTTATGTAATGATAAATATATGCTATTGCCATAGTTGTTTTTTTTTTTTAATCTTTTTTTAAGATTTATTTATTTATTTATTTGAAAGTCAGAGTTACACAGAGAGAGGAGAGGCAGAGAGAGAGCGAGGTCTTCCATCCTATGGCTCACTCCTCAGTTGGCTGCAACGGCCGGAGCTGTGCCGATCCAAAGCCAGGAGCCAGGAGCTTCTTCTGGGTCTCCACACAGGTGCAGGGGCCTAAGGAGTTGGGCCATCTTGTACTGCTTTTCCAGGTCATAGCAGAGCGCTGGATCGGAAATGGAGCATCTAGGTCTTGAACCGGCACCCATATGGGATGCCGGCACTTCAGGCCAGGACGTTAACCCACTGTGCCACAGCGCCAGCCCCAGTTGTTAGTTTTAATATTGTACAATGCTTGTTAGGAGAGAGTTGAGTCAACAGTGGGATTTAGGCAATCATTCTAGCTCAGATATTCAGCACCAAGCCACAAAAAGCAACACCAGAATTTGAGAAATTGAGCCTGGTTATTGCAGAGTAACAACAATGAAAGCACTGTTTGTTAGAAATATCTATAGATGTCGGAAACAGAGTCCCACCTGTATATCCTAAGTATGAACAAAGAGGAGTCATGGTAGAGTATATGTTTTGGAGATGGTCAAGCGTAGTTTCAAATCTCAGTTCTACTTACTAGTTGTGTGACCTTGGGTAAATAACTTTATTTAGCTTATAACCTTAGTTAGCTTCAGTTTCTAATCTATAAATCAGTGAAAATAAGCCCAAGCTTTCCAGTTTCCCATCTCCTCTTCCAGCATGGTGAACTGCAGCCAAGGCCACAGTCTTGGTTTGAGTGTAACAGACAAATCTGTGTGGACCAGTAGGGGGCACCGTCCTACAGCTGGGACCTGATTTCCTTGTGGAGCCTTGGTTTGTAACTTACAAGTGGTGCTGGGCTAAACTCTAAGGGTATCGGCCTAGGGGAGGTAATCCATTTAATTTTGGCTTCCATGGTTTTAGGATGTAGGTAGAGATATGAAACACTCATTTGAAAGACAGTACCATGTGTGGATGTTAACAACAAAACCCACAAACATTAAAGATGTAGGTTACTTAAATATGATTTAGTTACTTAAAAATAATCTATAATCGTGATGTAAAAATTAAAAGGTAAAAGAGCTACAGTACACAGTTTACTCCTTAATGCCCCCAAACCTGTCTCAGTCTCCTTCCCATAGTGACGATCAATTTCCCAGATTTTTCTGAAACCCATCCCCTCCATCCCTGCCCCCAAGAGCTGATGAATATGCAACAATATAGGCTTGTATACACATGGGAACATGCCATAGATACTGCTTTACACTTGCTTTTTCTATTTAACAATGTTGTGTTGAAGATTCTCCTTATCAATATGTACAGATCAACATGTATAGATTTTATTATGAATTATTAAAAACAGAGCATGTACTCACCACCTATATTTGACAATTAACATTACGTTCTACTTGGCTTATTACATTTGTATTCATTTGTCGAATCCTTATATGATCAATACATCTTATTTTTTGACATACTTCAAAGCTGCAGCTATCAGACTTCTGTTTGAAAACTTCATTATGTGTGAGAGTATTCACAGTCCAGTATTTTTCACAGTTAATGTTTTCCTTTGAAGGAAAAGTTTCCTAGTGAAACACACAAATTTTAAGTGGACCATTCCATGAGTTTTTGTTTGTTTGTTTTTTTGACAGGCAGAGTGGACAGTGAGAGAGAGAGACAGAGAGAAAGGTCTTCCTTTTTGCCGTTGGTTCACCCTCCAATGGCCGCCATGGCTGGCGCGCTGCGGCCGGCGCACCACACTGATCCGAAGGCAGGAGCCAGGTGCTTCTCCTGGTCTCCCATGGGGTGCAGGGCCCAAGTACTTGGGCCATCCTCCACTGCCTTCCCTGGCCACAGCAGAGAGCTGGCCTGGAAGAGGGGCAACCGGGACAGAATCCAGCACCCCAACCGGGACTAGAACCCGGTGTGCCCGCGCCACTAGGTGGAGGATTAGCCTAGTGAGCCACGGTGCCGGCCAATTCCATGAGTTTTGATAAAGACACATACTACTGTATGTGACCTCAACCCCAATTAAAATTCAAAGCATGACTATCACCTAGAAAGACCCCTCATATCCCTTCCCAGTCAATCCCAAGGCAAAAATTGCTATCTCTTCCTACCCATTATGTTCTTTTAAAATGCATATATATCACTGTAATTTTTCTAATGGCTTTCAACTGATAACCAGATTGTTTTAGACTTTTGCAATTAATACCTTTCTATAGGTACCCTTATTTACATATATGGATAAGTAAAGTTCCTCAAAGTGAAGTTTTTGACAGATAAGGTCACAAATTGCCCAAAGAGGTTGTAACAGTTCATACCCTGACTATCAGTGCAGGAGCACCTGCTTCCTCACGCTCAGAGGAAGTGAGTTATCCAACTTGGGTGCCACAAACTGCTACCCTCTGCTTGCTAAGACGATACTCTAAGGTGCACGCAACAATAGATCAGACAACAAGCAGACTCCCAGGGAGCAAAGACAGACCCAACTATCTGGAAGACAAAGTACAAAGTGACAAACGCTGAGAGCAAGGTGCAAAGTGCTCCTGGGGTTCAGAGGGGAGACTGCTGGGAAGGTGGGGATTGGAAGTGCGTCATGGGAGAGTAAGGTTTGCTCACATCTCAGTATGACACAAGGAGCAGGCAGTAAATGCTTGTCATATCATTTATGGGCAATTGGTGGATACTGAGTCAATGACTCAGATCTTATGATCCCCGATCTCCCTCAATTCTCTTTCCCTGCCCCAAACACCATTTTTCGTCTTTCCAGACTGATACAGCTACTCAGTCACACCCTCGAACATGGGCTTAGTTTTCCCCAGTTACTGGAGGGGCTCTCTAGGCCAGGGCTGATGGCAGGAGATGAGTCAGGAGCACGAACCAGCTGGCTTTCCAGCCTCTCTACTCCATTCTTCCGCAGGTCTGAGTCACTACTCTTCCTGCGTTCACTTACACTTGTACCTAGGAATCAGTTTGAAGGACTGACTCCTCGGAGAAGGAAAACAATGGACCCCCAAACCCTGCCTTCCACTTGGACTTTTACTTTCATTCTGAACCTCATTTACATGTCATATTTATGTATTACTAATATTTGATAGCTGTTCTTTCGGTGATTTAAAAATAGACATTAACTACAGTTACCACGATGTGCAGATTTCTCAACTGTATTATTGTAACTGTAACTTTATTTGCTTTGAGCAACATCTCACCATGTCAGCATTTGGAAATTATATTTACACTTTGTGTTAAGTTCTACTTTTTTAGATTATACGTATAAATGAGACCTTTTGGTTTATACACTTTGGTATCTTCTTTTTTTTTAATTAAAGGTTCATTAAATTAAGGTTCATCATGTTGTCACAAATGACATAATTTTTCTTCTTTAAGACTGAATAATATTAAGTTTGTATAAATTTTGTGGAGAATACGGATTAAAAAATAAAGTTTATCACAGTGCAGAAAAAAAGGCTTTTTAAGATTTATTTTAATTACTTGAAACGAAGAGTTGTAGAGAAACAAAGGGAGAGACGAAGAGGTCTTCCGTCCGCAGGTTCACTGCCCAAATGGCCACAATACGGCAAGGGCTGGGCGAGACTGGAGCCAGGAGCTTCATTCCAGGTCTCCCATGTGGGTGCAGGGGCCCAAATGCTTGGCCATCTTCCACTGCCTTCCCAGGCTAATCAGCAGAGCTAGATTGGAAGCGGAGCAGCCAGGACTCGGTCCTGGGCCCACATTGGGACACCAGCATCACATGTGGCAGCTTTATCCACTGTGCCACAATGCCGGCCCCCAGAAAAGTTTTGAAACTCATGCCACAAGTATATATACCACATTTTCTTTCTTTCTTTTTCTTTCTTTATTTTTGACAGGCAGAGTTAGACAGTGAGAGAGAGAAAGGTCTTCCTTTTCCGTTGGTTCACCCCCCCAAATGGCCGCCATGGCCCGTGTGCTGTGGCTGGTGCGCTGTGCCGATCTGAAGCCAGGAGCCAGGTGCTTCCTCCTGGTCTCCCATGTGGGTGCAGGGCCCAAGCACTTGGGCCATCCTCCACTGCGCTCCCGGGCCACAGCAGAGAGCTGGACTGGAAGAGGAGTAACTGGGACAGAACTGGCGCCCCAACCGGGGCTAAAACCCTGGGTGCCTGGGCCGCAGGCGGAGGATTAGCCTAGTGAGCCGCGGTGCCGGCCCTTCCACATTTACTTTATCATTCATGGACAGGTGGACACTTAAACTGTTTCCACAATTTGGCTGACACTGAGATGATCATGACAGTGCAGGTATCTTTTTCACATACTTTTGGATTTCGTATTTCTTTTGGACATAGAATCCGAGGGGATAATTCAGTAGTTCTGTTTTAAATTCTTTGAGGAACAACCATACCATTCTCCATCAGGCTGTATTCCTGGTAGATGCCCTTCCTGGCACCCCTGAGGGAAGTGGGGATGTGAATCCCCAAGGCCACAGGAGATACCTCCAACCGACAGAGAAACCCGATCCCAGTACCATAGTGGAGGAGTGGTTCAGTAGAAGCTCTGCACTTCTGAACAGGAGTTTCCCCAGGGCAGTCTCAAAGTCAGGCATTCAGGGCTGGAGGCACAGGGCCCATCCACTTCTCTCCTGGATGAAGAAATTCACATTAGTCCGCACACGATTCTCGGGTGTGCTGACAGCACAGGGTGGCCCAAGGGGCCATGGCTTTCTAGGAAGAGCCCTGCTGGCTTCAACACCAGAGGCCTCCTTTTCTCAGATGGGATGGAGGCTGGGGAGGGGCATCCCTCCACATTCAGCTTTGAGCAGCATGCCTGTACAAGACCATGTTGTTGGAATTGCAAGGACATTCTTTTTGCTCTGAACCTCTTCTTCTGTTCACATGGAATAACAGGGGTGGGACTGGGATCACAGTTAGTTAGGTGTGGAACTTTTAACTTACCCAGCAGGTGCGCCAGTAACTCCATGCGGTCAGAGCCAAATAACATGTGGGTCTGGCCATCCACGTGAGCCACGGTGATAGGTAGCCCAAAGGCCTGCAGAAAGCAGTTACAGTGCAGGGAGGAAGACGATGGAGCAGGTGCTATAGGGTTGGGGCTGAAGCCTTCCAGACAAGTACTGTCTGGGCTCACAGAAGCAAAGCAGCCAGAGGTGACTGATACGAGGCTCCATGGCCTCAGGTGCAACTTCTGTGTCTAAGTCTCAGATGTGTTATGCTTCCCTCACCATCTATCCCTTTCCCTTCCTCCCCCTAGGCTCAGGCAGAAGAAGAGGGAAGAGGAGGGGCGTCCGGGAAGACACAGGGAGACGCAGGCTGGGAAGGGGCCTTTTGGACAGGAAAGCGGGACACAGCCAGAGTCTGTCTCTGTCTTCAGGGTGCAGGTTGGGAAGACACACAGCTGCTCACCCCGTATCTGCAGGCTGCCTCCGTGGTCTCCCTGAGCTGGTTCTTCACCTGCGGTGTGGCTGTCTTCTCTAGCAGTGCTCGGGCGTCCTCTGCAGACATACCAGCCCTCTCTGCAGCCTGAGGGCAGGTGGTGGGAAGACAGCCATGTCAGCGTTGTGGGGCCTGGGAGCTCTGGAGAAAACTCGGGGGTTTCCATCTCTGCACTAAAGTATTCTTGGCAATGCCTTCATCTGCCACAAGTGTGGATCTCTTCCTTTAGCCCAAACCTTCAAATGAGTGGATGCAGCAGAGGGTAGAGTCACTCACAGAAACTGAATGTGGGGGTCTTGGGGAACATAGCCTGACCGCTTCCTTTCACAAATGCCTACAGTGGGAGGGGACACGTTTCTTGTTCAGAGGTACAGAGCCTGTCTTTAGCAGAGCCAATGCTAGAAGCCAGGTCCCCAGAATTCAAGTCCAGGGCACTTTCTTTCCTATTTTAGAATTCTGTAGTCTCTCATGCTGTCTGAACCAAGGGTTGGGCTCTCATCCCAGGAACTATCCTGGGACCTCACAAGGATCCACAAGGCTGCAGCCACTGCCTGGCTTCCAGGGAATGACCAGGCTTCATTAGGGCTTGTTGCTACTTGGGGCTCAATGGTTCTCATGAGAACCTTCTTGGGCAATTTTGAAAATTCCGCCATGCATTCTTTTCTAGAATGTTTGCATCAGACTTTATGAGGGGGTGAGGCTAACACACAGCCTCTGCAACCTGACATCCTAGACCCGGAAGGGGATGCACGCAGCCATGCAGTCCATGCCAGTGAGGCACTGCCACTGACCTGGCTAAATGAGGATCGTGTCCCAGACCAAGCATTCAACAATGGATAAAGAGAATGGTCAGGGACACAAAAATAAGGCCAGAATGAAAGGCCATGTAGAATGGAGAACTATACCTTCAAAGAGTTAAAAATGGCATGGCAAATGATTGTTGAATACTCAGTAAAGAAAAAAAGAAGGCTAAAAATCACATATATAGTTTGCAGGAGTAGAGACACTAAAGATGTATTAGCCTGTTTTTGTACATGGATCACATTTTTTCATGTGATGTGACATTTTGTATATTGAAATTGAATGTGCCTCAAGTATTTTATTGTAAACTGGAAGACAAATATTGTAATGCATTGCCTGACTTAATCCCATATGAAAACCCAGCCTTTATGCTCATGTTTTTGGCTGCCTCCAGAGTTCTTTCCATGTGTTCTCACTCAGCTTGTGTATCATTTTGGAATCAGTTATCTCATTTTGTTTTGTTTTTAGCTCCTGCTTTCCAGTCCGCATGTATTAGTGACGTTGTGTTTGCGGCTTCAGACACTCGTGAATTCTCTATCTGTCCCCATCGGAAGCTCTCATTGTTTATCACCTCTCATTTACTTCTTTTATCAAATAAATCCTACCCACACATTGTTTCTTGTGCACCTGCCTTTTCAATCATGAACTATTCTGAGATCAATCATGAACTATTCTTCTGAGAATCCTTAGTTCCAGCTTTTCAGTAATTTCTTCAAACACATTCATCCTTTCTCCCAAAGAAAATGATCTCTTTGGTGTGCTCTCAAATCTGTTTATGGGTTCTCTTCACCCCTAAATACCGAGTGACCTCAATCCAGCAACAGCAGTGGGTGTGGGTATGGGACACTCACAGCCAGGATGCTCTGGGGCTCCGTGATATCTTCATCCTGGGAAGGAGAGAACACTCAGCAGGAAAGGGGTGTGGACAGGGAGGGCCTGGAGGGTGGACTGCAGAGTCAAGCCTTCACCCGGGACCAGATGCGCATCCACAATTCCCTGGATACTTTCTTCAGCATCTCTGGCTGTTCGGCGTTCACGGCAGTGAGGAATCGCATGGCAGACAGACTTCCTGTGGAATACGGCCATTCACGGTGAGAGCTCCTCTCTTGTGTCCTGATGGAGGGCCTCCCTTTTCCCGCTTCTGACACTGCCCCAGACAATCACCTGCAGCCCCTCACCTGCGGTTCTCCTACCCCACTCGCCCTGCTCCTCCTCCCCTCCTTTTACCCTTTGCCCACCCAGCTGGGGGCCTGAAGCTCCCCAACCGTGCTCCAAGGAAGGCTGTCCCAGGCCCCTAATTCCTGCACTTCGATCTCTTCACTTCTCTGCCCTCAACGTGAGTGTCAGCCCGCATCCCACTCTGTTCACCTTTTCCAACAAGCCCAGAGAAATCCTTTGGGAATCGGACGGGAACCTGGAACAGCTGCTGCAGGCGCTGAAGGTCGCTTCTCATGTACTGTGTTTTGCGGGGAATCTCGGCTGGAGGCAGGTTTCCTGGCAGGGGACAGGTGGGTGCCCCGGTGAGAGAAGACCTAGGGGTCCCAGGCGTGGAGGGACCCGTCCTGGGTCTCAGGCAGAGGACAAATGACTGGCTGAGGTGCCACTGAAAGACCAGTTGAGGACAGCTTCTCTGAGACACAGATCTCCACCCGGTCCCAGGCCCGCTCCCCAAAGGCCTCTTCCTACCGCTGTCTTTCAGGATCCCTCCAAGGAAGCTGGGCCGCAGCTGCAGCTGCACATTCCAGAGCTTCTGATACCGGCACAGCACCTGTGGCGCGAGGAGGGCCAGCGGGTCAGGCCAAGACTGAAGGGCCGGCGATGGCAGCCGATCCGCTGAGGCCCCACGCGCGGGGCCCGGTTCCCGGGGCGCCCTGCAACCCTCCACGCACTCCTGGAAACGCACTCCAGGACCCAGGCGCCGGCGGGCGCTTCCCATGCTCCTGACCCCAATGCTGCCAGCGGGGCCAGGGGTGGCTGGACCCCTCCATCCGCTGGAGCTGCACCGTGGGGAACTATATCCTCTCAGGAAGCAAAGGCTCATCTTGGGACCGGGCTCTACCCTGCACAACAGCGCACTGCGGCCGGGACCCCTCCCTGTGCCCTCGCCCCCCAGGCCTTGCCGAGGGGCTTCCGCGGGTCACCTCGAAGCCCAGCCAGGAGTAGGGGGACAGCACATCGTAGAAGAGCTCCAGGCTGCGCGGCAGGGGCCCCATGCTGCAGCTCCTGTGGGCTCAGGTCACGGCAAAGTTCAAGGTGAAGCAGGCCCGGCAAAAGAGCCGCGCCCGTGACCTTCCTTAGGAGCCCAGCGGGCTACGTGAAACTTCCGGCCTGCCCGGGTGCACCGCCCAGGGCGCTGGCCGCGCAGCCGCAGTCGCGAGAAACTGCCCAGGGCCCATCCAGGCGGCGGGGAGTGAGGCGGGGCCCGAGCGGCGGGGCCGAGGGAGGGGCGGGGCGGGAGGTGGGGCGAGGTGCAAGGGGCGGGGCCGAGGACTGGGCGAGCCGCGTGTGCCCAGCAGGGGTGCAGCGGGGAGGGACCCACAGGATGGTGCGGGGCGTGAGGTGGGGCCCGAGGGGCGGCGGCGGGGTGGGGCGTGAGGTGGGACCGAGGGCCGGGCCGAGGGAGGGCGGGGCGTGAGATGGCCCAAGGGGCGGGGCCGAGGGCGGGGCGGGGCGTGAGGTGGGGCCAAGGGAGACGGGGCCAGGCGGGGCGTGAGGTGGATCCGAGGGGCGGGCCGATGGTGGGCGGGGCCGAGGGCGGGGCGAGCCGCGGGTGCCCCGCGGGCAGCAGAAGGAGATCACAGGGCCCTGCAGTAGGTGTGGCGAGTAGGACGCCAGGCACCTGGCTCGCCGCCCTGTTCTGGGGTGGATTCAGGGTCGCAGACGGGGTCTGAGCGTCCTGCAGCGCAGCTCAGGTCGCTGTGCTGCCCTTTGGGCAGGCCCCTGGCCCCCTGTGCACCTCATATCGTCCATCTGTCCTGCAAATGGGGCTGCACACCACCCAGGTCGGGTGGAGTTCTGATGATCGGAGGGGCTGCAGTAACCGTCGCCTACTAGGACTGCGCCTTGGTAGCTGCGTGAACTGCTTGGGAGGGCCAGAGTAAGAAGTTCCCAAGTTACAGACTTCTTGGGGTCCCTTTCTCAGAGTTTGGCACAGTGCCTGGCACATACTTGACAATCAATATATTCTCTTTCTATAGAGTGAAATAAAGAGGGACTATAAGGGCGTAGGGAGGTTTTACTGCAGCAATAACTTTAGGACTTGATCCACCTGTTTGCAAATAGTTTATTGCATTGTATTAGGCTTACATTTACTGCAAAAAGATAGAATTTTTTGAATCCCCTTAATCTTATTCTTTTTCTTTTTAAAGATATATTTATTTATTTGAAAGTCAGAGTTCCACAGAGAGAGGAAGAGACAGAGAGAAGAATCTTCCATCTGCTGGTTCATTCCCCAAGTGGCCGCAATGGTCAGATCTGGGCCAGGCCAAAGCCAGGAGTCTGGAGTGTCTTTCAGATCTCTCATGAGGGTGAAGGAGCCCAAGCACTTGGGCTATCTTCTGCTACTTTTCCAGGTGCATTAGCATGGAGCTGGATCAGAAGTGGAGTAATCAGCACCCATATGGGATGCTGGTGTCATGGGTGGTGGCTTTACCTGCTACACCACAATGCCAGCCCCCAAGTTTTTTCTTTACTTTACTAAATTTATTGAAAACACATAATATTCTCCTTCTTACTTGTATTCACCAGAAAATTGACTCCAGGCCATCAGGAAACAAGGAAACAAGGAATAGTTCCACATGAAATAGAATATACAATATGGAAAGTTTGTCTACAATGTAAGTCCAATTTCTGTTCCTATTACACCATACCTGATGCTGGGTAATTTGTAACAAAAGGAGGCTAGTTTGCTCACGGTTCTGGAGGCTGAAGTCCAAGATTAGCAGTGCATCTCGGGAGGAGGGCCTTGTGTTGTGTCCAAATAGGGCAGATAGCATCACAGGGCACAAGTGCATGCAACAGTGCTGAGCAGGCATTTTTAGAAGACAAGCAGATGTACCAGAGAGAGAGGGTGCCAGCCTTACTGTGAAACAAGCCAGTTGCCTCCGTAACCAATTCAGCCAGCAAGAGGAGGAAGTTACTGTTGTGATAACAGCATTCATCCTATTTAGCCACCCATTCACTCTTAGAGGTCCTGATACCTCTCCACACGGCTGCATTCAGTACCAAGTCTCAAGATGAGCTTTAGTGGAGACAATCACATTAAACCACAGAAACCAGTAATATTAAAAGTAAGCCAATCACTTACTCTTTAAGATTGATTGTTAATTTATTTGAAAGGCAGAGTTAGAAAGAGAGAGAAGAGAGGTCTTCCATCTGCTGGTTCACTCTGCAAATGGCCACGAGGGCCAAGACTGGGCCAGGCTGAAGCCCGGAGCCTGGAACCCAATTCAGGTTTTCCATGTGGATGATAAGGGCCCAAGAACTTGGGCCATCTTCTCCTGCCTTCCCAGGTACATTTGCTGGGAGCTGGATCAGAAATGGAGCAGCCAGGACTGGAATCTGTGCTCATGTAGGATGCTGGCATCACAGGCAGTGATTTAACCTCTGAGCCACAGCAACAGACCCGTAAAAGCACATATATTTGGAAATGATCTTAGACCTACAGAAGAGTTGTTGGCAGATACAGTAAGTCTCCCTCTTGGCATCGCCAAACATCAGCTTCCAGTTGAGTTGATGGCAGAAAGCTTATTGTGAGAAGTAAAGGAGATGGTGGGAAGGTGAACCTCTTAAAAGGAAACTGCCTCTCGAGAAGAGGTTTGCTAAGCCTTTTACAGCGAGGCATTTGGGATTGTCCAGGATGTAGAAAGGGGAGAAAAGAGGGCCCTGCGTGCTTGCAGTGTGCATCTTTATATGTTGTATGTTCACAATTACGACTCCAAGTAGTTTCTGAAGCTTGTGTGTGTGTGGTGGTCTGCTGCTTCATGAGAACAGTGTTGAGAAGTCAGCTTTTCCTGGAACATCCTTTGAAAAACAAGCGCAATTCTCACTGCTCCTGCTCCTGTGGTTCCACACTCCCCTGCCCAAGTCCTACACTCTTGGTCACATGGTAAAGGGATTAGAGTTTCTGATTACTTCTCACTCAGCTCCCCGTAATGTGATGTGTTACATGAATGTGGTATAAAGATGAAACCTGAGAAATTAACATTGGTCCTTTACTGTTAACTAAATTACAGACTTTATTCAGGCTTCATTGGCTTATTCTGTTAATGCTCCTTTTCTGGTCCAGGACTCAATCCAGGATACCACATAGCGTTTACTTGACATGTTTTTAATCTTCTCCTACCTATGAAGATTTCTTGATTTTTCTTTTCTTTTTATTGATAAATAATTTTATAACACATTCATTCATTTGAAGGCAGAGACAGAGAGAGAGAGAGAGCGAGTGAACTCCCATTGGCTGGTTCACTCCCCCGTGCCCTCAAGTGGAGAAGCCAGGAGCCAGGCAGGCTGACACAGAATGTAGAATTGTGTGTCTTACCTGGTGTCTAACTGACCTTCCACCTTTTCTTGTTGACACCTGACCAACATTTTGAAAAGTATTGGTCAGCTGTTCCGAAGGATTGGGGTGGAGTTATGGATTTTTTTTCATAAAGATTTATTTTATTTATTTGAAAGACAGAGTTACAGAGAGAGGTAGAGACAGAGAGGGATCTTCCATCTGCTGGTTCACTCCCCAGATGAGCTGGGCAGATCCAAAGCCAGGAGCTCCTTTCAGGTTTCCCACACGGGTGCAGACTTGGGCCGTCTTCTACTGCTTTCCCAGGCCATAGCAGAGAGCTGGAGCTGAAGTGGAGCAGCTGGGACTTGAACCAGTGCCCATATGGGATGCCAGCGCTGCAGGCCAGGGCTTTAATCTTCCGTGCCACAGCGCTGGCCTGTGGAGTTATGGCTTTTCAGGAAGAGTATCCCAGAGGTGGAATGAGCTTCTCCTCACATCATAGCAAAGGGCAGTCGCTGGTGATGTTAACTTTGATCCCTTGGTTCAGGTGGAGGAATGACTGTCAAGTTTCTCCACTGTCAACTTGTGGTGGGGTTGCTGGGTCAAGGTGTCATCCGATGGCCGGATCCAGGGTTTGTTCTCCTTCACAACAAGAAATTCAAGGAGGAGACTTTGGTAAAGTTAGCAGAGGAACAATGTTTATTTGCATGCAAAGCGTAAGTACCCATTCCAGAGAAAGTTTGGGCATGCTAGAAGGTAAGCTCTACTCAAAAATGTTCAAGGTCATCTCTGTGTGTGATCTAGAGATATTGGGGGTGCTGTCTGGGGCTGAGTTTAATTGCATATTCATAGGAGGCAGGGTTTGGGGATGGAATCTGAGTATCACCTATTTCTCTGCCCGCCTCCCTTTGCCAATCTCAGAAGTGTCATGGTATCAGGTGTATTATGGGAGTAGGAGTGTCAGCTATGGTAATTTTATCATAATGACATTGTTAACTGAAGGTCATCTCAGGGATGCAGTCAGCAGCCGTGCTGGTTATTTTTGGCTGGTGCTGGTTCTGAGTGATAGTTTCTCCAAAACTGTGATTTTATGCTGCATGCCAGGGGAGGGAGGAATGAAGTCGAATTGGGGATGGGGAGGGGAGAGTTTGAGTAGCACAGGTGGGGCTTCAAGGAGGGTATGGGGACCTCAGCTCTCCTTGCCGACTACCTCCTTGTTTACACCAGAGTCACCATTTCTCCCTTTCCACACTCTATTCTTTGGGGTTACTCAGTGCAGGGTGAGGATGGGGAGTTGGAGAGAGTCAATTCACCTTCTGAAGGGTAGAACATGAAAGGACTGGTCATGTGTTAAAACACCACAGCAATTAAGAGATGTTTATAGCTTTGCAAATAATCCACGGCTTCAACATTCACCAACAATTATAGCATCCAGCAGTGGATCTTGCCTTCAGCCATTGTGACTGTGAGATTCAATGATTTTCTATTTCTTCTTTTTTTAAGATTTATTTTATTTATTTGAAAGACAGAGTTACAGAAAGAGGTAGAGACAGAGAGAGGTCTTCCATCTGCTGGTTCACTCCCCAGATGGCCACAACGGCCGGAGCTACGCCGATCCGAAGCCAGGAGCCAGGAGCTTCTTCCAAGTCTCCCACATGGGTGCAGGGGCCCAAGGACTTGGGCCATCTTCTTCTGCTATCCCAGACCATAGCAGAGAGCTGGATGAGAAGAGGAGCAGCTGGCACTAGAACCGTCACCCATATGGGATGCTGGCGCTTCTGGCCAGGGTTTTAACCTGCTGCGCCACAGCGCCGGCCCCGATTTTCTATTTCTTTCATTTCTTCTACATTTAATTGTTGGAACTCTTGGGGCTGGCATTGTATCA